TGCTCACAGTAGAACTAAGCCCCTGGCTTTGCATGTGATGTAACCGGGGTGTGCCATATGTGCACTTTGATAGAATTTGTGCTAAAGCTGCAACCTTCTGCCTTTTCCTGCACTCTCTGAGGATGCTCACTAGTTTAATTGATAGGATGGTAGACCAAGTTGTCTAGCTTCTGGCCCCAATATGCGTAGCTGTTTTAATCTTTCTCTGTTATGAGGCTGTCAAGCTGGATGTTCCTTTCCATGCGGGGATTCTGCAGTGCTCTGGTTCTCTTGAAGTACAGGGCCCCTTCATCTCTGCAGAGCTTGCCTTGCTGTGCTTTCATCATTTTCACCGTGTTTTATGGTTTTTCTGTTGTCTTTGCAGCCACATGTCATTTCCATGGCCGTCAGTATCTACAGGCTGCCTCTGATCTACTGGCCTGTTTTGCCTACATTTGTCAGCAAGACTCAAATCATCTAAGTACAGAATGTAAAGCAGCTGCTTTCCTCAAAGTCACTTGGAAGTCCTTAGTGTTGTTTTTTTCAGATTTATAAAGGCAATATTTAAGTAATACATGTCTTTGTAGACAGTCTGAAAACCCCAAAAAGCATCAAGGAAACAGATGCTACCATTCCTTTGCCACCCAGAAATAAAGTCACTAAGGATAGGTTTTACCAGGCATTTTTTTCTTATCTCTGTGTTTCCCCCTTTTTGTGGGGAGTCTTCCTATTAACATTTTAAAAGACTCACATCTTTCCCTTGCTGAGAACACAAACACATAAACCTTCCAGGCTTCAGGGCTGACTGGAAGGTGTGTTTTCTTTTTTCTCTTTCAGTTGATTTTCAGCTCTGCTGGAGGATGCTGAGCCAGCTGAGGTCACTGGTGAGTGCATGGTTAAACTCAGTGGCCATCTTCAGTCACCTTGCCTCTCCAGGCCAGCATTTGATCCCTTTTGCAACCTTGTCTCTTCCCTGGTTTTACTTAGTCTTGACTATGCTTGGTCTCCTTGGTAGTCTTGCCTGTTTCTCAACTATACCTCCTGAGAAATTTTTCTGTGATTTGGGCAACTGAAATCTATAGCTCAAACATTTTTTTTTCTGAATTCTGTTTACCTCTACTCTACATTAACTCCATGGATTAACTGTTCCACATACAAATTCAACTTATCCAGACAGACTCAGCTCTTTTTAAACTGTTCCCCCTTTTCTGTCTTAGTGACATCTTCTTGTCAAAGCCAGAAACCGGTGTTGTCTCTAATTCTGTCTGCCCTGCTTCTCCCCAGCCTCTGGGGACATCTGCTGTCACCCTTGTGGAAGGGTGAGAGTGAGCAGAACAGATAAGTACTTAGATGATTGGGGGAGTTTTCAAGTATTTAAATTCAGTATTGTTGTTGTTGTTTTACGAGACAAGGTTTCTCTGTGTAATAGCCCTGGCTGTCCTGGAACTTGCTTTGTAGACCAAGCTGGCCTCAAACTCAGAGATCAGCCTGCCTTTGCCTCCTGAACACTGGGTTAAGGGCATGTGCTACCACTACCTGGCTTCAAGTATTTAAATTTATATCAAAATATTATGTCTATTTTATTGAGTTCTTTGACAGTTTCATATGTGTATACAGTTCTTTCTGTTTATTCTCACCCCTCATCCTCTGTACCTCTCCTCCATACCTCTATCATCCCTTCTCACCAGTCTCTGCCCCCATTCATGCTTTGTTTTGTTTTGTTTTATTACCATTGATTTTAACCAAGACCACCCATGTGCATCTCCTGATGACAAATCTTGGGACCCCCAGGGTGTTCCTGAACTACAGCACTGTTGTATAGAAGTGGCTCCATTTTGTCTTCACTCTGCAATGAGAGAAGGGTTAGGGTTCACCTCATTCACTGCTAATACCCTGGTGCCTGGTAACTTTTCTCTATATAAAAGATGCTCAGTTACTCCTTTGGGTTGGTTTCTGGAATACACATCCAGTACTAGCAGGTACAAGGAAACTTTAGTCCATGGGTACTTTGTACCAGTTCCCCTTGGGTATTTGGGCTTGACATTTCCACTTAACAAAGTGTAATTCTCATTTGGGCTTAGCTCATGTAGAGGTGAAAAGACAAGAGTTAGCTTTTATCTTAGATTTTAAGAATGAGATATGTGTATACAGGGTGGTTGAAGCGATGCTCAGTTGGTAAATGCTAACTTCAAGTGTGAAGGCTGAATTCTGAGGCAAGCACCTGTGTAAAAGCTGGGCACAGCAATGTGGGCCTGTGATTGGCCTGGGCAGGTTCAGGCAAGAGGATCCCTGGGGCTTGCTAGCCAACCAGTGTAGCCCAATTGGAAAACTCCAGGCTCAGGAGAGACCTTGACTCAAAAAATAAGGTGGAGAGAGATTGAAGAAAACACCAACATCAACCTCTGGCCTCCACACGTTTACATACAGGATCATGGTCACACATGTACATGCATTGAGGTGGGGAGATGTGTGTGTGTGTGTGTGTGTATACACACACACATACATGGGGTGCTGTAGACACTAACACTATGCTATGAAGTGTCATGTTTTATTTTTTATTGGAAATGGTGAAAACGTATTTTCCCTGTTTATTTGTTGTCACAGAAGTCATTTAGGTAAAACACAGGATATGCTTGTTCTGAAAAGGCTATTAGGTAACAGAGAGGAAATTCTGAACTGTTCTAAGTGTTTATTGGAACAACTGTGACCGTTTATTCAGTGTCGACCTGAGAAGTGCTTCTGTAGTGGTGGAGGAGGAAAGAGGAATAGCACAAGGCGTCGCTTACTAATTATGTGTTGTCTGGTTCCCATGAAAGCCATAATTAGGAAGAGAGAAACCCTGTTTATTACAGGCACAAGTTCAGCATTTACAGCAGATCATTATTGCAGATCACTGTGCTGCCCGCCCCGCCTTAAACAATGTGACGTGCAAATACCCTGATTTTACTGAAGCCCGGGCCCTTGGTGCCAGCTCAGCATCTGCCATGCAGCATTCGTAGTTTTGGCAACAGGGTTTGAAACCTACGTTAGATTTTTAGTTTTGCTCTTCCAACAAAGCAGACTTTGTTGCACCATATACATGCAGGGCCCATGGAGGCCAGAAGAGGGCGTTATTCATTGGAGCAGGAATTACAACCCCTTGTTAGCCTTTGAATAGATCAGGGTCTCCTGTAAGGGCAGGGGCTGAGCCATTGATCCAGCCCCAACACAGGTTTTTCTTATAAACTAGTGGCTTATTTATTTGGCCTATACAGCATCTAATAATACAGTATATGTCTGATATATTTTGATGACATTTGGGATAGAGGCACATGAGAAAGTAGCTTTGGTAGTAAGCATTTTATTAAATGTCTTTTATTGTTTTGGTTTTTCGAGACAGGGCTTTTCTGTGTAGTTTTGTACACCAGGCTGGCCTTAAACTCACAGAGATCCACCTGCCTCTGCCTCCCGAGTGCTGTTAAAGGCATGGGCCCACCACTGCCTGGCTCTATTAAATAACTGAAAAAAAAAATTAACCACACACACACACTGCCTGCATGCATGAGTACTTGTGTGCATAGAGGCCAGAAGAGAGCATGGGGTCGGTCCCCTGAAACTGGAATTATACCTATTTGTTGGTTCTGGGAATTGGATTTGAGCCTTCTACAAGAGTAGCAGGTACTCTTAACCAGATTTATATCTTCAGCCCCTTAAATAACTTTTATGGATCAATGTTTGCGTGTGAAGTCAGTATTCATGTCACTGAGGCTGCGTTGCAGCCACATCCCTCTAATAGGGATGGGATGGTGCATGCTAGTTAAGGAAGTGGTTTAGGTGATTAAACTTTTTTTTATAAATTTATTTGTTTTTCATATTCCAATCCCAGTTCTCCCTCCTCTCCTCCTCCTCCTCTCCCCTGCCGCCCCAATCCCACCTTCCATCTGCTCCTCAGAGAAAATAAAGCCTCCTCTATGATGTCAACTAAGTCTGTCCTATCACCTTGTTGAGGCAGGGCCAAGCGGTCCCCTCTCCCCCATGTCTAGGCTGGGCAAGGTATCTCTCCATAGAGATAGACAGTTTGTGCATTATAGTTAGATCTTGGTCCCACTGCCAATGGCTTCATATACTACCCAAGCCATACCATTGTCACCTGTATTCAGGGGTCCTAGTTCAGTCCTATGCCAGTTCCCCAGTTGACAGTATGGAGTCAGTGATCTCTTACTACCTATGGTCCGCTGATTCTGTGGGTTTCCCCATCATGGTCTTGATTCCTTGTTCATATTAAAAACTTCTTAATTCTTTAATTATGTGTATATGTTTTTCAGTAAGAGCACATGCATGTGGCTACCTTTGGAGGCCAGAGGCATTGGATTCCTCTGGAGATAGAGTTACAGATGGTTGTGAGCTGCCCCTTGTGGGTGTTAGGAACTGAACGTGGGTTCCGGAAGAGTAGCAAGTACTCTTTACTGTTGAGTTATCTCTCCTGCTCTGTGATTAAACTTCTCTACTCTTCTATGTTTTTGTAAGATTTTAATAGATTAAGAGGCCTTTTTGTTTTTTTAAACTAAGAAAAGTGTGTGTGTGTGTGTGTGTGTGTGTGTGTGCACATAAGTGTGGAGGCCGATGTCTGATGTCTTTATCACTTCACCCTGTTTTTGAGACAAGGTCTCTTACTAACCTGGAACTCATGGATTCAGCTAGGTGACTGACCAGTGACCGCCCCCCCCCAGGATCTTCCTGTCCCCACCTTCCTGGGCTGCCCAAATTTTATGTGGGTGCTGGAGGTGTAACTCGTCCTTGTGCTTACAAGCATTCCACCCACCAAGACACCTCATAATTCACATTTGATGTTATTTCTGTCCTGCAAACAGTCATTCCTGCCATGGAGGGAGGATGGGTAGCTTCCCTGAGTATTTTAACTCTTAATTGTTTACTGACAGAGCCACATCGTAGACCTCATATCCATAGAGCATCTGTTTATGTTCTGTGTTTCAGAGATGTTAGCATAGAGATGAAATATTTTACCCCTTTCTCCCCTTTAGCACAACATTCTGAAATTTTTTGGTCATTGCAATGATCTTGACCGGGAAATGAGAAAGTGCTTGAAGAATGAGGTAAGAACCGTGTAAATTGTAACATTTTTGAATATTATGTTGTTGTCATTATTAAATTTCCTATAATTTTAGTCTAGCAGAAAATCAACCTGATCTACAAGAGCTAGTTCCAGGACAGCCTCCAAAGTCACAGAGAAATCGTGTCTTGAAAAAAGGGAAAAAGAAAATGAATGGAATTCTTTTTAAAACCAAGAGGACTGAACCTTTCATTGGGAACAACTTTAGAACATTGTCCTCTATCTTACTTAGGGTTTCTTTTGCTATGAAGAAACACCATGACCACAGCAACTCTTTTTTTTATTTTTATTTTTTTGGTTTTTCGAGACAGGGTTTCTCCGTATTGTTTTGGAGGCTGGACCACAACAACTCATAAGGAAAACATTTAATTGAGGTGGCAGCTTAGTTTCAGAGGCTTAGTCCATTATCATCATGGCTGGGAGTATGGTGGCATGCAGGCAGATATGGTTGGTGTTGGAGAGGTAGCTGAGAGTTCTTACATTTTGACTCACAGGCATCAGGAAGTGTCTTACACACTGGGCATGACTTGAGCATATATGCGACCTCGAAGCTGGCCCCTCTAGGAACACACTTCCTCCAACAAGATCACACCTACTCCAACAAGGGCACACCTGCCATTAGTGCCACTCTCTTTGGGGGGCATTTTCTTTCAAACCACCATACCCCCTTCCATGCACACAAGTGGAGAAGGCATCTTTGCTTTCATTGAAAAATTCAAGGTGAAAGAAATCAAGCCTCAAGAAATCAAGCCCCTGGCATCAAGCAGATACTTTGGTGACAGTGATTAGTTGGTTTGTAGGTAACCAAGAGTCTTTGGGTCTCAGTTTCCTTTAGTAAAGTGAGGAGGCTAAAAGTAGGTTCTTTCCATCTTTAATGAGAATCTTGGATTCTTTGTGTTGTGAGCAAGCCACGGGGCTCTTATATGATTATCTCCTGACACTGGTTTACCTACAGCCCCATCTTTTGGAGACATTTTCTCAGTGGAGGCTTTCTCCTCTCTGATGACTCTAGTTTGTGTCAAGTTGACTTAAAACTAGGTAGTACAACTCCCCTGTGTTTTTTGTTTTTTTGTTTTTTGTTTTTATGAGACAGCGTTTCTCTGTATTGTTTTGGAGGCTGTCGGTCCAGCCCGGCCTCGAACTCACAGAGATCCGCCTGCCTCTGCCTCCCGAGTGCTGGGATTAAAGGCATGCGCCACCACCGCCCGGCCTCCCCCTGTGTTTAATGTTGTTTCATTCTGCAGCTTATGAATGTTGTCCTGAACAGTCTTTCTTCTCTACTCCCGAGTCTGCTCTGCTCTTCTTTAGTTCCTGTGTTCTCAAGTGTGGCTCCACTTGGTAGTGGTGGTGGCAAACACCCTTAATCCCAGCACAGAGGTAGGCGGATCTCTGAGTTTGAGGTCATCCTGGTCTACAAAGCAAGTTCCAGGACAGCCAGGGCTTATCTCAAAAAACAAAAACAAAAAGTTTGGACCTTTTAAAAAAAAAGTAAGTGTATGTGTGTGGGTATGTGCACATGCTCAGAAGCTAGAGATGGTTGTGAGCTGCCTGACATGAGTGCTGGGAACTGAGATTGGGTCCTCTGCAACAGTTAGGCTCCAAACCAGTGAGCCATGTTCACCCCCAGTGTGTTGAAGTATTTCATGCCCCTTTGAAAGGGTCTACCTGTTTCTGGCCCCCTCTCTCTGCTGTCTGCATTTGCTGTTACTGCATTTGCACCTCCTTTGTTCCTGTTCTTCATTGTTTGGTTAACGACCATCTTATTCTGTCTTGGGAGTGACTTTACATTCACCCTTCCTCCCTTTTTGTCCAAGGGCCATCTTGACTTCCTACATTAGTATAGACTTTACTTCAGTGTGCTCTATAATCTTAATGACTTGCTACACGTGTAACCTTCTGAACACTTTTTACCTGTAGACTCCCTTCTCTCTTGGTTGCTGCAGAAAGTCCAGTGTCAAATCTTTTTTCCTAGAGCACATGTTGTCTGTGTTCTAGAATAGCGTTTTGTACTGTTTTCTCCCAAATAGTCCTATTGTTCTGTTTTGTTTTTGAGACAGGATCTCATAGAACCCATACTGCCTTGGCCTCCTGCACCTACAAATTTGGTTGAAGAGCCCCTGGTAAGGTTCTCCCTTACCTCTTCCCTGGTATTGATTGATTAATTGATTGATTGATCGATTTATTTATTTATTTGGGCAGGATTTTTCTGTGTAGCTCAGTTTTCTAGACTCACAGTTCTTTGGACTCAGCCAGAATTACAAGTATGATCTGTCATACCTAGCCTGGAGTAACCTGTTGGTGAAGAAAACAGTTTGAAAAACTGTTGTTCAAAGGCTGAGAACATGGCTCATTGGGAGGGTGCTTGTGGTCAAGTAGATCACCTAAATTCCATCACTGGGATATGCATGGTTTGGAAGGAGAGAATGAACTCCTAAAAGTTATCCTCTGGCCTCCTCACTTGAGCGATGACATATGTGCACTCACACACATAAACAAAGAGAAAATAAATGTAATTTCTTTGTTTGTTTTTTGAGATAGGGTCCCACTATGTAGCTCTGGCTGTTTTGGAATTAATTTTGTAGACCAAGCTGTCCTCAAATTCACAGAGGTCTACCTACTTCTGCCTCCTAAGTGCTGGGATTAAAGCTGTATGCCATTATGTCTAGCAGTAAATGTAATTTTTAAAAGCTGCCCTTCAAAAGGATTTATATAGTTTTTCAATCAAAATCTTTAGTTTGAAATTGTATTGATTGAAACTTAATGGTTATGTGACCTGGCTCTTTGTGTTTGTGGTTTCTTCCCCAGACAAGAGGAGTTCAAAATTTGAAAATCTTCATATTTTTCTTCTTGGGAATAGGGTAGGAATTCAGTCAAGTCCTTGCTTAGATATTACTAAATCTATTTTTGTGTCCTTCCTTTCCACGTCTCTGACTCCTAAAAGATGTTCCATTGTTGATATATGTTCACGTTTTAATTCATTTTCTCTCTTTTCCCTTTCCTGGGGGGAGGGGAGAATAATTAACTTATTTTTAAAAATACATCTCTATCTATCTATCTATCTATCTTTCTATCTGTCATCTGTCTGTCTGTCTAGGTAGCATATAAACACACGTATATTAAAGCATTCCATTTTGAATGTAGGTTAATATGCATGTGAGAAAATCAAAATGCTCTTCCATAAAAGTGGCTGCATGCTCTATTACCTGTAACCTATAATGGCTGCTGACCATATGTTCATACAGGTACTGCAGTTGTAAACTTCCAAGGTGAAATCTGCATTGAGAGCAAGCCATTTGCACAAGCTTAGGGTTTGTGGAGGATCAAGTATGGTGACAGTTAATGATGGAAAAATCCTGGAATGTTCACCTGTTGTAAATTACCATGGATATCAGTGGGAGACTGTGACTACCAAGAGCTGTTTCCTTTTCATAATGTTTAGAGAAACATATCAGAAGTAGGCTCCCTCACCTGTCTGCCAGTCACTAACTTGACTGAGTATTTTGTTCAATTCTAGATCTGAATTTTTAATAGAGTGTTACTATTAAAGTGCCCTGTAGGATAAGCCATTTTTCAGGCAACAGAAGAAAAAGGCCACTTCCTGTAAACTCTTGGAGAAAATATTTGGCCTAGAAAAGAGGAAAAGAGGGTCACTGTTGGCCATCAGTTACTTGAAGATTAAAGCAGGCAAGGGTAATGGAAGGTAGGAGGGGAGTTTACCACACAGCAGCTGAATAGGCTGCTCTCAAGGTAGTGACCCCAGTGATTAGACAGAGGAGCTGCTGGCAGCAGGGGCCGAATACATCTGTCCAAAATGCCCCTTGACTTTGGGAGGAACTTGATGCAGTGGCCATCCATGCTGCTGTTGACAAGTCTGTGTTGAACAAGGGATCACTACTTCTAGTGGCAGGTTCCATGAATGAAAGACAGAGTTTCGTCAGTAAAAACACTCATTATTTTGCTTAACTTGTTTCCACTTCTCTCCCTTTTCCTTCCAGTATACAGAAAGGAGGACCAGGAGCAGGGAGCATGGTATTGCAATGCGAAAGAGGCTTTCTGATCTTCCAGAGGAAGCTGGAAGATAGGTTTACAGCCTTGACTGGGAGACCTGAAGACAGTTGGTAGCTGGAAAAATCGCTTCGTTTTTAGTCTCTACAGCCCTTTGAATGAAAAGTGACCCATGAAGAGCTGAACTATGGAGGAACATGAGAATGTGGATTCTCAGTACTTGTTGAACAAAAGCCTTCAGTGCCGTGGGCTGTGCCTGCAGGACAGTTTCAGCTGCTACTGCCCTGAGTCTCCATCCACCGGGTACTGACTCACCTCCCCAATAAAGTAATCGGACAGTGTTGTCCTCCTTTTCTTTAACCCTCTCGGGGCAAGAGAGAAAGTGGTGCCAATAGGTTTATTTGAGAGCATGGTAGTTGACGATTAGGCTCTGAAGACAAAAACTAGCATGGGAATTCCAGCAGAGTTAACTATACAAAGTTCCCAATCTTTTTATCTTTTTAAGGAGACAGTTTTGAAAGATCACATATTTCTAATTAGCTCTCCAATTATGGATGGAAAAATACTTGAAAAAATTGGACCTGTAGTGGACTGTACATGTTTCTTGACACTCCTTAAATAATACAGCATAACAACTGCTTATACAGTCTTCATATTAGGCATTAAGTAAGCTGGGGTTGGTGTGGCCACAGGTGAAAATGTATAGGTTTTATGCAAATACTTTGCCCTTAAGGGATTTGAACATCTGCAGATTTGAGTAGTGGAGGGTCCTAGAAACAGTACTGCCCAAACCTTTGGAATGATGATTTATGTGGATAACATTGCATCCAGTTAGGGTCCCATGAGACTCCACTTTCTCATTTGGTTAAATGTTCCCACCATGGGTACCAGTTGACTCCTGGGCTTTACCTTTAGAACCTCAGGGCTCCTCATGTGTTCACTCTTGGCTCCTACCTCACGAATACTACTTCCACTGGTTTCTGAGACCTTGACAGTTTGGAAGCCAGCAGCTTCAGCCACAGCTTCAGCAGGGCTTCTCGGAGCTACTCAGGAGCTACCAGACAACCCAAGCTATAAGCTTCTGATCCTGTTTGGTGTGTAATGCTTGTATGAGATTTGGTTTTTAATAAATGGTTTTCCTATTGCAGGAGAAGTTGGGCATTCAATTTGCAGGGTGACTAAACAGGATAACACAGCTGAGGAAAGGAGTGGGGACAGAAGCAGCATTCTTGAAGTCCCTTCTATGGAAGCTGATAGGGGTATTTAGACATTTTGCTGGTAGAACCTTATAGCAAACCGATAAATTGACTAATAGTCATACTCAGTTATAATTACAGAAGCCCTGTGGTTATTGAGGTGATAAAGAAAACATAGCTAGGGCACTTGTGCTCAGTGTTCACGGAGTCATTCCAAGAAACCTTTTTGATGAAGATGACCTTTGCCAAGATAAATTAGGATACTGTCAATATACCAGCAGGGCATCAGTGTGACTGGAAGATGGAGCTGATGGTGGAAGACGAAGAGCCTACAAAGCTCTGAATTCTGTGATTTCATCTGCAGTACTGATTTTAGTTTGCAGTGGAGAGAGGTGCAAGAATGAGCTGTTTCAGTTTGTGTTTTAATGAGATTTTTCTGATTATAGTTTGGGGAAAAAAAAATCAGTCCTTTTGTTCAAGGCAGCCAGAAAAGCAAAGGAGAGTCCAGTTATGCTAATTGGAGTAGCTTGCCCTGCTCCCAGTGTCTGCCTGTTTACAGGAAAATGAACATCAGAGGAGTGCTAGTGACAAGAGATAACAGAACTTTCTGTTAGCACTAACTGGATAACACCTGCTCAGAGCCCCCAAGGATGGCTGGGTTGCCCTATGTTTCAGTCCTGAAAGGCTCCCTGAACAAGTCATTCTGTTAAAAACTGAATAACCACATGCTAGGTGGGTTGAGGAAGGGCATGAGACCTGCATAGATATGTGGTTCACAAGAGAGTTCAGGGTCTCAAAGGCTCCTAGTTGGATTAGCAGCCATTTCCAGCTCCAGTTGAAGCCTACAAATGGCCATGGCTGTCTCTTAAGTTCATTTATCATGCCACTTCAGCCTCTGATTCAACTCTAATATTGGCGTTTTTTAATGGTGTACATGCATGTGTTTATATACATTCACTCATATGTAGCTGTGTGTGTGTGTGTGTGTGTGTGTGTGTGTGTGTGTGTGTGTGTGTGTGTGTGTGTGTGTGTGTGCATATAGAGACTAGAGGTTGGCAGATTCCAAAGAACCTCAAGCCTTGGTGCTGACCAATCATTAGAAGTAGGAGGTAGTCTGTGTGTGCCCATGCACCCAGGCCTTTGCACATGATAGCCAAGCACTCTTCACTAAGTTTCATCTCCACCTGAGATAACATGGTTTTGCTTTAATGAACTTTGCACTCAGGAGTGGTTTGGTCAGAGTTCTGTTTGTTTTGTCTTGTTTCCCATCGGGTCTAGGCCTCAGCTTCCTGTGCTGACATTTCTCACCCCTACAGGAGCCACTTTAGTAATCAGGATTTATCATACTTAGTGGTAGTGCTGAGGTTCTGTGGAGTTGGAGTCCTGCGCAGGATGATCCTCCTGCTCTAGTCTGGCTTCCATTGGGCTCTCTGCAGTCCTGCCTGGGAAGCCCTTTACCAGGCAGCAAGCCATGGGTAAGGTCTTAGTCTTTGGCGATTCCAGCCATTCTCAGTCCCTGTGAAGTACACACTCAAGGCTTCGGCAACTTAAGCTCTGTCTTAGTTGCTTGAGGGTCAGAAAACGCCGTGGAGCTGAGCAGCATGAACAAGGCAGAGTGAGACAAGGGGAGCTGGGCAGGTCCATGCTGCCTGGGCCTTGGGAACCATAGCATACAGCATAGGTATTACTACATATTGTATGGAATGCTCTTAAGTGGGCATTGGTCATGATCATCCTTGGATCTTTTAAAAAAATTAGATTTTTATTCATACAAGTGCTTTCCCTGTACATATGTCTGTGTACCACATGTATGCCTGGTGCCTGAGGAAGTGGTGAGCCTCCATGTGGGTGCTGGGAATCAAACCCTGGTCCGCAACAAGTGCGCTCTCTCTCTCTCTCTCTCTCTCTCTCTCTCTCTCTCTCTCTCTCTCTCTCTCTCTCTCTCTCTCTCTCTCTCTGGGACTTGCTTTCATTTTCAGAGGTTTAGAGCATTAACTTCATGACAGGAGCATGGCAGCACACAGGTGGAAATGGTGCGGATAAGTAGCTGAGAACCCTACATTTGGATCTGCAGGCAACAGGAAGAGAGAGGCGCCTGACCTAGCTTAGTCTGTTGAAACCTCAAAGCCCACCTCCAGTGACACACTTCCCCCAACGAGGCCACACCTCCTAGTCTTTTCAAATAGTGCTACTTCCCTGATGTGTCATCAAATCTATGAGCCTATGGGGGCCATTCTTATTCAAACTGTCACTCCACTCCCTGGCCCCCATAGCCTTGTAGCTATATCATAATGCAAAAAAGGTCTTCAGTTCAACTTCAAAAGCCCCCATAGTCTATAACAGTCTCAACACTTTAAAAGTGTGAAGTTCAGTCTCTTCTAAGACTCATAGCCATCTCTTAATTGCTACTCCTGGTAAAATCAGTATAAAAAAGCAGATCACATATTTCCAACATACAATGGGACAGAACATACATTACTATTACAAAAGGGAGGGAAGGGAATAAAGGAGTAAGGAAAATACTGGACAAAGCAAAAATCACCATGGCAAACTCCAAGCTGAATCCCCACATCTCATGTCAAAGAATTCTTCAGATCTCCACCTCCTTTCAGCTTTATTGACTGCAACACACTTCTCTCTCTTGGGCTGGTTACACATCTAGTCTGCCTCTTTCTTATAACAGGTGCTCTGAGCCAACTTTCCAGCCCCATTCCTTAGATTTTATCTTTGTGCTTTCTGGGAAAGAATGGTGATAGTTAAACCAGTGACAAGGCCTGTCATACAGGGTTAGAGTGAGGATTCATTGACATGTATATAAGAGCAAATTCTCTGGCATAAAATAAAGGCTGTGTCAATGTTGTTCTTATAACTGCATAGGGTGTTGGAGACAGTTCCCCTACATTTTCATAGTATACACCATATCCCTTGGGTCCATCCCATTTGGGTAGGAGTCCACTGATGGGGGGGCAGGGTGTAGTACCCATTAGAAGCTAAAAGGAGGAGTCGGGTCCATAGCAGTCTCCCTGTTCTAGTTTTGCTTTCTATTGCTTTGATAAAACACCCATGTAACTTGGGGAGGAAATTTATTTCACTTGGAAGGTTTTGGTGATGCAGGGAAGTCAGGGCAGGAACCTGGAGGCAGGAGCTGAAGCTGCTTACTGCCCAATCCCTCATAGCTTGCTCAACCTGCTTCCTTATACAACTCAGTACCACCAGCCCAAGTGTGGCAGATCCATAATGGGCCCTTCCCACATCAATCATGAATCAATTAAATGCCCACAGATTTGCCTATAGGCTAATCTGACGGAGGCATTCTGTCAGTTGAGGTTCCCTCCGACCAAATGTGGTTGAATGAGCTGTCCCCCACATTCTTATGCATTTGAATACTTGATCTCCGGTTGGCAGTGCTGTTGGGCAGTCCTTAGGAGACGTGGCCTGGTGGAGGAACTGTCCTGAGGGTGGACTTTGAGGTCTCAAAAGCCGTGTGACTTGCCTAGTTTACTCTGCTTCCTGTTTGAGATGTGAGTTCTTAGCTTCCAGCTCCAGCAGTCACAGCTGCTGCCTGCTGTCCCTGCCATTATGGATACTAACCCTCTGAAACTATAAACCCTCCCTTCTGTAAGTGCTTTGGTCATGGTGTTTTATCACACCAGTGGAAAAGTAAGTAAGACATCCGATTACTCAAGCTTGTGTCAAGTTAAAAAGCCAGCATACACCCCAACCTGACCCACGTTCCTGGCTCCTTGGCCCCATTCATGGATAGAAGGGCTGACTGTTGCCTTCCGTGACCATACCACCTCTGATTCACACCTTGACCGTACTTCCTCGCGTTTCTTCACTTTACTGTAGACAAGGGTGGAATCTCCCTGCTACTCTATCTAGAGCAAACGAGTTTTGACTTTTTCTCTCTTAGTGCAAAGGAATAGAACCCTCTTCTTTCTCACTTTTGTAGAACACATTGCTGGGTGCTGTACGTAAGTGAAGACCAGGGAGGTGGTGAGAGTGGGGGTCTTGTTAGTTCAGCTGAAACCTAAGTTAGTTTCTGAGGCTCAGCTTTCCTTCTGTGGGAACTGGGGAGGCATTGGTCTGCAGGATGTTGAGCACATGAATAGATACACTTTTCAACTTCCTGTGCCTTAGGGTCC